GTTTGTGCAATTGCTATGTATATGTGGAGGGTTAAAAACAACCTTAAAATGTATATTTTGATGGGAAAGAGTGTCGGGATACAGCGATGACAATTGGATATTTACTTGAATCTCCTCGACTCACCTTCTTGCCACGGCAGTAGCCTTATTTCTTCGGTTTTAATCTCACTGAACTGAAACTGAAATTCACTTTACAGTGTATATTTTGATGAAAGAGTGTCGAGAAGATGAATACTTAAATCTCGTGGATTCACCTTCTTGTCATATACTTGGCTTTATTTCTTCTGATTTAATCCCACTAAACTGAAACTGAATTATTGAATCCAATTTACTCTCCGCATCCCATGAATATGCAGCTGCATTTTCAATCAGATTGTTCATTTGATCAAATCCAGCATGGCTGTTCATATGTGAACTGCTACTTGAACTTTCGATTGCTTTATTCATCAGAAATGAATTTATTCTTGAAGTTGAAGTACTGTTGGAAAAACCTGATTCCATAATATATCCATGATCAAAATTCAGTAAGCTAGGCAATGAATCACAACCTGAACCCTGATTCTGATTTGGATTTGGATTTCCCTCCATCTGATTCTGATCATAAGGTGTGATCAGAAAATTTGAATGGTATCCAGTAGGATCAACTTTTGCTTGAAACTCTGATAAGAATAGGGGATCATATTCATAGACTTGTTTGTTTACGAAATTCTCCCTTGAAATTTCAGTTTGTTCTTCAAATATTTGTCTCATTGCATCTGATATTGATGAATACGGAATCCCATCTGGCTCTAGTATCTGTACTGGACATTTTTCTGTGCAATTCTCTTCAGTTTTGTTCATTGGCTTGTGAGTGTTGGGATCAAGTCCTTGCTTTATCAACTTCTTTTTCAGATAAGAATTCCAAAAGTTTTTGACATCGTTGTCTGTTCTTCCGGGTAATTGTGCTGCAATTTGAGCCCACCTATCATTTTAGGCAAACCTTATCAAAATGACCGGAAACGGAAACTTTATGGGATGTTTGATCAAATCAAGTAGACACTGCTAGATTGTAATAGAATTAAACTTTTTGCCTATTATAGTGCCTCTACCGTTAAGACTTGGAGTTCCATTTTAAAATGTCAACCTTATTAAGAAAAGAAATCTAAAAATCGGTCTATGTTTTCATTTTTATTCAATGTTAAGACTTGGAGTTCAATCTTAAAAGATCGACCTTATTAAGAAAAGTAGTACAAACTCTTACATGTTAGTCTATATTTTCATATTTATTCAATGTAAAATTTATCCTTAAAACACTGTCTACATATCAAACATCCACTTATGGAGCAAGAACTTTTCACTACTTAAGAGAGTAATACAAACAGGAAAATCAATAGGGCAACCTGGGCTACTAAAATCATTAGGCCAACCTGATACGTGTATGGAATACCAAATATACCCTTAATTAGTTCATGGTCGAGAAAACATTTAGAGTGTGTTTGATTGACATGGAAATGATATCCTATAAAAGAAAATATTTTCCTTGTTTCGAGGAAAACAAAAATCTACTCCCCCAAAGAAAATGTTTTCCTTAAAAACGAGGAAAATTAAGCATATTTTTAAAAGTTGAAAAATATTTTCCATGAAAAATAAATGTAATAAAACACGCCCTTAGTGTCGGCATCGGTTCAGCAAAAAAAGTATCAAGATAACTATTTTCTTTTAGAACATTTCAGGTGATGTTTCTTGAATAGGAATATAACCTGTTGCCAAGAACTTCGTGTAGTGTAAGGATGAGATCCTCCTCTTCCTGTGAAAACATTCCTCTTTTAAGATCAGGCCTCAAGTAGTTTATCCATCTTAACCTGCAACTTTTTCCACACCTTTGCAATCCTGCATGAACCAGATAATATCACACACACACACACACACACACAAATCAAACCACAGTAAAGTTGGAGGATTTAACAAAACTAAAAAGCGACGCGTCAATGAACGTCTGATCTGAAGAAGATAAATTACCTGTTAATTTAGGCACAGAACTCCAGCAGCCGATGCCGAATCTTGTTATGTAATTGTACAATTTCTCATCTTCTTCTGGTGACCATATACCTTTTTTAAGCTTATTATGTTTCACACATGAAGAATGGCGCCCCATTGATTTTTTCACAAAGAACCCGGATTCTTGGATTCTTTGTTATGAAGATAGTGAGATATTCAAGTTTTGGTTAGGGGTGGGGTGGTATTTGAAAACTACTTAACAGTGAAAGCAAGCTTGAATAAGTGGTTAATGAGTTTAATGCTCACAACCCTTTTGAGTCACAAATTATTTAAAGGAGTTGTGTAGAGAAAATCATCCTTAGAATTCAAGTCATTTGAGAGAGAGAGAGGAGAGAGAGAGAATGAATCGATAAAGTGGTTTCTAAGCAAAACTGGTGTTTCTTTTGCATTGGACTGGATTGTATTTTAAGATACCTGTAACCATTAAAGTAATCTAATTAAAACTTTTCCTTGTGAAAACTAAAATTACCAGTGCATCCAAATTTTACCGCTGTTCGAAACAGTAAAATTTAGCGACAGTTGAAAGTCTGATGCCTTTTAAATTACCAGAAGAATTATTTATTTATTTTTCAATATTAAACATGTTTTTTAAGTAGGGACCTTTCATTAGTGATTCTTGTCAATTCTGTAACCTCAAATCCCACCTATGTGGCCTCACAGTGGACCTTTACGTACATTTAGTTATCTATCATTTTCGTCTTACAAATAATCAACTTGTCACTATTTCTGAAATCACGTCTACTCTATCATTTTAGTATTACAATTGGATAAACAACAGAATTATCGAAAAAAGTTCAGAAGATAGTAGCCAATATGTATGATATATTCGATATGCTCAACTAAATATAGAACTAGTTGTAACGACAGAAGAGAGACCACACTAGAAATTGTAGATTCACTAATGAAAATTCCGTCAATAATTTCCCAAAGTCCATCGGTCATGTCGTTTCCTAAAGAAAAATTCTGTCGAGTAGACATTAGGTAAAAGTCTGATCAAAAATATTTTCTATAGGGAAGACAGTAGGTAAAAATCCGGTCATTATTATTTTTTGTCGAGAAGATAGTAGGTAAAAGTCCGGTTAAAGATATATTTTGGTGGATAATTGTATGATGTGTATTCGTCCGGATAATGCAGCCCATCAAAACACTTCGATCAACAGTCGATCAAAAATTTCTAACTGATTACTTTTCGCTTAAATTTATCGACGACAAAACACATCAGAACACATGTTTTTATTCTTGTTTTCAAATTTATTACTAATTAAAGACAAAACATATTATATTTTACATTGAAGGGGGGGGGGGGGGGGGGG